TCATGATAGTAAAATAGGGCATTCTAAGTCAATATACTCAATCAGTAGAAAATATGGTTAACACTCGGTCATGAATGAAAAAAAAAATACACCGTCCTGTACCGTGAAACCGGTATAATTTTGAAAAATACCGTGATATAAATTTTTGGTCATACCGCCCAGCACTACTTAAAAGGTAAGTAAATGACAGAATTGTAATTTTTCCATTAACTATCCCTTTAATTCAATTCAATTCAAGTTTATTTGTATTGCGCTTTTCCCGATGCAAATCGTTGCAAAGCAGCTTTACAGAAAATTAAAGTTTCTACATTATATTTACTATCCAAACTCTCGGCCTCCCAAACTCTTTAGTGCCACCAACAGTTTTTAGAAAAAATCTTTGGACCGAATGGTTTGGAAATCAATGTTGTAATTGTTAACTAAAAGCTTCAAACAATTTGAAATCATTTTTGTTCGCTGAAATAAAGCTTAAATGAAACAAAATATAAATATTAGATGAAAAAAAAACTTAAATGAAAATTAGAAATGTTGCCTTTGCAACCAACTGAAATAAATTAAGTTTAATTTGAAGTACTTCAATTACTAAAACTGAAATGAATATAAACGAAACTAAAAGGATATATAGAAATATAAAAAAAATATATTAAAATGACAAAAGCTCATAACACATTTTAAAAAACTTAAAGGTGTTGTTGACTCTTAACTTTTATAAATAATATCTCTTTGGATTTGAGACTTTAGTCTTTGCAACTTTACAGATCTTCATTATGCACCAAGAGCTTGTAACACTCCAAAGAGAAAGGAAAAATTGAAATCGCATCATATGACCCCTTTAAAATAAAAACTGAAAATATAAAAAGAAAAGTTAATTCAAAATACTATAAAATTATTAAAATAATATGAAAATAACATTTTCACATGTTGGACATGTACTGCTCATGTATTTTATTGCTTTATTGCTCGCAGTGTTTTCATTTTCTGTCCAATTAGATTTTCCACCATTTTAATTTATTCTACAGGTTTCATCAGATTTCATCAGAAAACTCACAGTCCATGTCAGCAAAGAGCTATTAAAAGGTTTCTGATATACTACACTGTTCAAGTGTAACACGTCAAAGACATGAAACAATTCTTTACAAATCTTAGAGACATGAAACTTGATGTGTTGCTGCCAAGAGCAACAAGAAGCATTTGGTGACAGCTCCACCTACTAGTCAAGACTTTATAAAAAATACTACTTTTTTAGCATTTTATTTAATAGTATTTTTTCAAGATTTGCACTTTTTTCCCCCTCATAAATATAAGCGACCCAAAACACCCTAATAAAATTGCTGGATAAGAGGCCAAACATGAACAGGGGCAAAACTTTAGGCAAAACTTCTGCATATTGCCATGAGGTAAAAAAGCATAAACAAAAAAATCTACTTTACTAATGATAGATTTAATTTTTTATAATCTAGATTATAAGCCCTGAACACATATTTTAAGCGATTCTCTCTGTTCTTACAAATGCCAAATGTAGCAGATGGGGATCCAATACAGGACAAAAAGCAATACAATTAAGTGATCAACTGTACGGACAACAGTAGAAGCAAAGACATTTTGCATTTCAGAAATTTGCTGATCATCTTTAAAAGAATGCTGAAAAATATAACACAATTATTAGCTTGCTTAGACGTCTTTGGGAATTGGAGCAGGAGGCCTACTGTGTGAAATCACCACATGACGCCAATAACACTTTTACGGCCTATTTCACTTTCACAGCTGGATGTAAGCTTCTTAAATTTTGTCTTGACGAGCCCCTTTGCACTCAAGCCCTTCAACATTTCCAATGCATACAGTGGCTCAATAGTGGCCATTTTCTCACCCAGCCCAATTCTTTGCGATTAAGACCCCACGTTTTCTCTTTTCCAGCCTTCCTCTTTGTAACACCCACTAGCAAGTATTAAAGTCCTCAATGCAAAACACATATGCCATAAATTGTTCCTCTTCTCTCCCTCATATCTCTGTCTGTCAAAGAATAATTGCTGAAAATGCCAAATGTCAAAGACAAAGTCAGAATTGCTATTTATCAAGCGCTGGCAAGCCATCTATCCAGGAGAAAAATTAGACAGAAGTGTGCAATATCAGAGCGTGAAGAGATGCTATCAGTGTGACAGTGGCTTTCTTGTCTGTGTGATGTTCTCTGGGCCATCATAATGTTTATTTCTGTCAGACAAAGACTATTTCTTTACACTGTTTTGCTGGCGCTTGAACACACTTTCCTGTTTATCCCAACAAATGGCCAAGCAAAGCGCACGACACTGACAAGGTACGCGATACAGTACGACACCAAACGCCATTTCAGCACGTCTCCACAGAACTAAAACACCATTTTACCTTTGGACTTTTTATGCAGAGGGATAATGGAGAGAGAACAAAAAATATTGGTGAGAAAAGGAGGGAGCGAATTGAGGAAATGTCACAAACCACACTCAAACCCGCACCATCCACTTGAGCACCACGGCTCAACGTATCAGAGTATGTGTGACGACAGCTAAGCCACATCTCAGACAGACAAAAATGTTAGAATGTATTCATAATTGTATTTTATTTATAATACATGTATTTATATTTAAATTATATTTTTTATATTTTATTTATAATAAATAAATGAATATAAATGAGTGCATAATTTCTGTGCCACTAGTAATTTTTCTATCTTCCACATTTCTTATACTCTTGTGAAGTCAACTAACACATTTAATTTTAGTTGTCTCTGCACATTAAACTGGGAAAAAAGAATGAAACAACATTACACAATACATGCAGGAATATATTTGGATGCCAATGGGTCATGGTTTGACTGGTTAGCATGAACCAGTAGAACTTAATCAGGTGATTAATCTTAATCAGATGCTAAATTTAATTTAATGAGGACAAAAACGAAGGATAGACTTCAAGTCTATCCTAAAAAATACTAATATTAATTAACCACTTTTAATTAACTGATAAGGGTAGATCTTTTATATTTATTCACTGTATGGAAACTTACTGTTAATTTACTCTTAGGTGTAACATAAAACCTTAATGTACATAACCGATAAGAAAAAAACTTTTTTTCAACGGAAAAAAACAAAGTGTCCTGCAGGAAATTCTGGGAATGTCAATTTACGTTTTTCTCACTATAAATTATACAATGACTTATTTGTTTTTACTTCCAAAAACTGTAATTTTCATATATTTGAATGTTGAGCAGCGAGCTCATTGGCTACCAATACAGGAGACAACCAGTCAGCTGTGCCATGTGATAATGATGTTATTATGTCAGATTGAGTTAGACCTATTTTAAATAATTTTCAAACTTTTTAAATTCCTTGTTTTATTGTTGTGATTATTGTTTTTATTTTATTTTATGTAAAGCACTTTGAATTACCATTGTGTATGAAATGTGCTATACAAATAAACTTGCCTTGCCTTGCCTTGCCTATCAGACTGCACCATCAGAGTTTCATGCCAGAACTCTGTATATGTAACAGTATTTTACTGTAAAATGGCATTAAATGTAATGTAAGATCTATTACATTTATTCACAATATATAGTAAGGAAAATTACTTTTAACCAACGAACAGGTTTTTACAGTAGCATTTTTACACTAGTCTTTTAATGTGAAAATCACAAACACAGTGTGTTTAAAGGTCCTAGATCATGTCATTTTCACAACTCACAACTTTCTAAACTGTTTTATGAAGGTTTTTCATTTTCATTCCTGTCAAAAACGAATTACGCCGAGACCCTGACCCCTTCTAAAAACACCTTTCTCCAATGAGGCCTATTCAAAAGACGCAATAGAAGCCTGTTGCCACCTCAGGGTAAAAATAAAAAGGGCAGTTTTTCTGAGATAAAGTTCAAAATAAGAAATAAAAAGATTTAAGAGTCAAAAATAATTGTGAGACATTTTCCACTGTTTGCTGCTATTACCACGTAGATGTCTAGGAATGATAATGGCTGGCTTTCTCCAGATACTGCATTAAAGACCTCCATGCTGGACACTCAACAGTATTTCTACTTATATAAGAAGGTTAAAATCAGACTTCAGTTTCTCTTAGGCCATGTCCGTCCTCATCTCATATATAAAACACCTGTGATTCACAAATACTTGCTAAGGAACTCGTATTCATAAAGTAGCCTTGTTGAAAAGTTTGGGTGAGTAAGGGCTTTCAGTGACCTGGTGCTGCGTTTGCATGTGGACGAATGGCCAAACCGCGTAGAAAAAGCTGCGGTTTTAAAAATAACGTGTGGACAGGGCCTTAAACCTTTAAATCCCATCTGAAGCCTTTCTCTCTCTTTATTTCTTTGACACTTCCCATTCCGCCCCACTCACCCAGAGGCATGCCGATGCCGTAGCCCTTGGTGTCTAACAGGCCTCCAATCTGCGTGAGGTTGCAGTTGAGGCGTCGGTGGTACTCGTTCATGGTGCTTTCCAGAAGAAAGGCGTACTTGGAGTTTAAAACCCGAGCTATGCCCTCCTCCGTGCTCTTCACGAACACGCTGGGCTGCTTGGAGTACATGTAATTCCACATGCGCTGGTACGTCTGGTAGCGCGAGTTCTGAGTAGGTTTGTCATCGGCCATGAAAGTCATCAGAAAAGATGGAGAGAGAAACGAGAGGTGAAACAGGAAGGCGTAGAAAAATCAAAGACAAAATCATATTTGCAGTGACATGAGGACAGGTGAATGAATAAAGAGACATTTTATTGACAGACATTGAGAGTGAACTAGATTAAGGTAACAGATTGAAAGAAAGTGAAAATGTACGGGAAAGAAAGATGAATAATACATTATTAATGTAATGTGGGACGTGAACTTGGCCGCCAGTGTGAATATGGATGTGGCTGTGAGTCACTAGGCCAACTGCTTACTGCCATAAACAGGACATGATGCATTATGACATGAGTCAAAGCACATGCACAGACTAGTCTATTAGTTTTACCTCTAATTAAAGGGTTTGTTTCGACTATTTGTGTATCACATGACTTTATCTGTGCTTGTTGTATATGTGGTGCCAACATTTCGGTTTGGCTTTGGTTTTTCAGCCCATATTTTATATTAATTACATAAGGTAATTAATTGACCCGCAGACTAGTTAACTACTTTTCTAGGCAATTAGATAAAATGAGTAGTTGAGAAAGCTGTATTGTGAACGGATCTATGAGCATGTATATATTACTTATATTATATATTATTCATAATAAATATTATTAATTAAATAAAATGTATATTATTATTATTTTATAAGTATTAATATTTGTTAGTAGTAATAAATTAGTAATAAAAATGTGTAATATTTAAACTACCATTCAAAGGTTTGGGGTCAGTATTTTTTTTTTTTTTAAGAAATTAATTATTTTATTCAGCAAGGATGCATTAAATCAATCAAAAGTGACATTTATAATGTCACAAAAGATTTCTATTTCAAATAAATGTTCTTTTTAACTTTCTATTGATCAAATAATCTAGAAAAAATTATCATGGCTTCCAAAAATATTAAGCAGCACAACTGTTTTAAGCATTGATATTAATAAGAAATGTTTCTTGAGCATCAGATCAGCATATTAGAATGATTTCTGAAGGATCATGTGACACTGAAGACTGGACTAAAGATGCTGAAAATTCAGCTTTGCACTTACAGGAATAAATTATATTTTAAAATATATTAAAATAGAAAACAGGTATTTTAAATTATAATATTATTACTGTTTTTACTGTATTTTTAATTTAAAATAAAAAGAGCATGAGACTTCTTTCAAAAACATGAAAAAATATATATAAAAATCTTACAGACCCCACAGTTTTAAATAGTACTGTATAAATTTTGTCAGTATTATTAATACAAAACTTAATATTAACATTATATTAACTTAACATTAACATTATTGAATATTCATATATGCAAGCGTTGGGGCATGTGTAGAATTTTGTGAATGAACGGTGTTTCAGTTCTGCAGAAATCTGAAGCTTTTAGTGAAATTCAGCCGGCAGATTCTATGCGGGCCTGGATGTGAGTCACTATTCCAACTGCTGCCATAAACAGGAAGTGATGCATTATGACATCACATGTGCACACATGGTAGGCCAGTGAAACAAATCACACACACACACATGATTTCACACAAACAAGCACATACGTACCATGAAGAAGGTCATAGTACTTCCTCCTTGAATAGTCCCATACTGGATGTTTGTCTGATCGGCCAAGTCGTCAGCAGATTCGATTGGCACCTCCATCCTCTGGACCGTCAGAAAAGCTGCAAGGTTCGCCGTGTAGGAGGAAATGATGATCAGTGTGAATGCCCACCTGTTTCATACACACAGAAACACATGGTTCAGAAACATGAGTGTGTACATTAGAGACAGATGTTTGCATTAGACATATCTGTGTGCAGATATGCTGACACATATAAACATCATTCAATGAAATACGAAAAACACAGCTGCAATGTCAGCCAGAACAACCTGCTTTGATGAAATGCAAAATAGCAGGCTATAAAAAAAACGATCAATAAACAGTGTTTGCAAACTCTGTGGAATTATCTGTAATGGGAATGAATTAAAGGAGTAGTTCACTTCTAGAATGAAAATTCTGTCATCATTTACGCACACAAACCTGTAGGACAAAAAAATACTATGGAAGTCAATGGTGCCCATCAACTGTTCGGATGCTAACATTTTTCAAAAGATCTTCTTTTGTGTTCAAAAGAAAGAAAGAAAAGGGTGAGTAAATGATGACAGAATTTTCATTCGTGAACTAGGGGAGCACGGGGCATAAAGTAACGCGGGGTTAGTTGTAACACACGTGGTTTGAATATTTCCACACATGCTAGCATAACAAAATTTATGCTATTTACTAGTTGCCATATCAACACTATATAGAGAAAAAACTGCGCCAAAATTCCAAAAAAATATATCCCCGAACATTTATTTTACTATAGTAAAAGTACATTTCTGGCTTTAGTACATTTTTCATCTCAGTTTTTAGTATTCATTTAAAATGAGGCAAATCTGCTATTATTTTAATCTCCAATCTGTTATTGATCAGTTTAGATATATATTTTTTTTTTATGCTTCGCTAACTATCAGAAGACACTAACCAATTTTAAATTCCAGTTGCGCAGATGGGGCACGTTGTAACACTGCGTTACAATGTGCTATTCTTTGACATTAGCAATGTAATTTACACATTATTACGTTAATGTATTTTAATATTTACACTGTAATTATGAAACAAAGCGACGTATTTGTACTAGACAAGTGTAAAATTACTGTGGATAAAAAAATTATACTATGAACCCCATGTGGATTTACACAAACTGAGAAACTCAAAAAGTGTTACATTGTGCCCCGCTCTCCCTTACTCCTTTAATAAAGCATGATGACACATAAAAAAAAAATAAAAATCAAACAAATAAGCCAAAAATATTAACACATTAACCAATAAATTTAGATGTTCCAACCATCCTCATTCCAAAAATGAGGCCATTCCATGTTTAAGTGGGTAAACTGTGTTCTGGAACACTGTTAACCAACTCAACTAGTTCCCCACCAGAGTCAATGAGGTCTACTAGCTCTGACCAGGTTGACCTACTAATATGTGGTCCAGTTGGCCAGCCATCTAAACTTGCTTGGACCAGATAGAAAACAAGCCATGCTTTTAGTCTTGTGCACAAATCATCTGTGTGATATTAGGACCTCAATTTAGGTCCCCACCGTGACACGAGTCCCCATGAGTCTGTGTGTATTCAGGTTTAAGTCCCCACCAGAATAGAAAAACAGGTACACACACACGCACTTTTTTTCAAACAGAATATTTTGGAATATTATAAATGTCTTTACTGTCACTTTTGATCACTTTAATGCATCCTTGCTGCATAAAAGTAATGATTTCTTTAGAAAAAAAAAAGAATGCATTCTTTGTGGTTACGAATGCTGATTTATGTTGTCCAAGTAGGAATTTCCAGTAGGAAGTTGGAGAGCCCTTCCCAACACAAGCATGGAGCTCTTCACCGCAGTGAATCATGGCCAGATGACAGAAAACTCCTGATGTCCTCAGAGAAAGAGCTTTCATGACACCGGTGAAGCATTTGAAACTTTTCTAAAGAGACTGGCCTCCAAAAATACACAAACAGGCAGATTAGTTACTTGTCATTTAATAAAAGCTCTTTATCAAAAATGAAAGTACACCAATTGCAGACACACGTCCCCCAGAGCATCATGGAGTCGCAGCAGAGATAGACACCAGATCTCTGCTTTCTGGGTCACCCCTGTGTGGGATTAGAGTTGCATCTATTGTGTTTATTCACACCACAGATGATTAAACATTCGGCTTCCACTGATCGAATCATTTCAGTTCCATTGTTACTCTTCCTAAAAGTGGTTGTTCAACGTAAATGACCTCAACAGCAAGGCACAGGACAGAAACAGAAGAGATGGAACAGAAGACAGCTTGACTTGATAGCAGAAAGAGCAAAATGAACTGAGAGCTAAAATGAACTGAGAGCTACATGATTCGAGGTGGGAGACTAATCTAGAAATACACAATGTATGTCGGCACACAAAACAAACATGCCCAAACAAGCTTTCAGTAAGTGAGAAAAGACACACTCTTAATGGTCTCTTTACACAGAGAACAGATTTTCAGATGTTAAATTGAAATAATGCATCCCCATTTGTGAAAATCTGCCCTGCAGAACAATTTCACACCAAGTAGGTCATTTTTTGTTTGCTTCGCCAAAAAAACACAAAACAAACTCCTACCAACACATAAGATATGTGCGATTATTCCGTTAGAAGTGCTTGACATGAAATTTTGAAAAATTCAACTTCTTCCAAATATATTTTATTTATGTTTAAACATGTTCTGAGATAAAGAGCTGATCTTGGTGTTGATCAACACTCAAGTAGATTTTGGTAATTTGTATGTGTGGATTTGTGTATTTGTGCTTGCTAACACCAGACAGCAGATTCAGGAAATTCTAACCATTTAAGAATCATATTCTAACATTAGAAAAACTGATTAAAGAGAAACAATACAACATATAATGCTATAATAATCTTCCTTTAAAATGAGGATTGCCTTCTAAAAATCATTATACCTTTTTTTTTTTCATTTAAAATCATTATTATGGGCACAGAAATGTTCCAAAAACTGAATAATCACCCTCAGTGTTATTTTAGTATTATTTATAAACTATTATAGTATTTATTATTATTTTGAATTCGCTTTTAATTGTATTTTATTTAACTTTTTTTAATTTTTACTTTAAGTTTTAGTAATTTATGTGCTTTTATATATAGTACGTAGAAAAAATATATATGTATAGTGCATCTATTTTCTTTTTATATATTTAAAAACATTTTTTTCAGGTAGTTTAATTTTAACATTTCTCATTTTCAAAGTCTAAAGTTTAAGGTATTTTTTTATAAAATCTTTATATTTTATTTTATTTCAAATTAATTTCAGTTACCGAAAATACTTACTAATAGTTTTAGTTTGAAGGTTGGAATACTCTACACAGCGTTTAAAATCTGAACAGATTTTAAAACATTACGGCATCATATACTTACCAACTTTGGAAATAGTCACAGAGGAAAAACTGGCCATAAACGACTGAGGATCGCACACTACCAGACTTTAAAGTCGTTCAGATCACAACACACTCGTGAAACGTGCGCCTTGTTGCTAGGAGACGCTTGACAAATGAAAACAATGTGTGTTCTAACATCGTCTCAAAATATCAAACATGTTTGATCTCCTCAGACTGAATGGAATCATAGTCTGAAGCAAAAAAATGCTTCACTGTAACCATCATACACTACGTGATTTTCTATTAAATCTGTCAACTGGCTCTGACTTTAAGCAACTAGTGTCAACTTCTCCAGACTGTAAAACCTGTAGTGTACTCCAGGCCTTTAGTTAAAAAGCTGTCACCCATATAAGCTTTTGGATCGTGTGTGCAGAACCAGCTGGTGTCGATACTGATATTGCACTCGGTGTGAAGGAGTGTCTTTAATACTCACACACACACACACTTACTGCATGGTCTCTTACACCTCCATGGAAGTGTGAAACATCGCCACACTCACCAAACACCGCTGACACAGCGTGTGGACAGAAGCAGATGGAGGGTTTGGGCCCTGGCGCTGTGGCAGCGGCCGGAGATCGGGTAGATTTAGGTAGATCGGGGCGCATTCCCTTCGACTTACTGCATGGTCTCTTACACCTCCATGGAAGTGTGAAACATCGCCACACTCACCAAACACCGCTGACACAGCGTGTGGACAGAGCCCGGGGCATGATCTCTGAGCCCTGCTGCATGAAACCACCGATTGGAAACCACAGGCTGTTCCCCAGTGTGTACTGATTCTCCAGCAGGTCGCTGCGGTCCCGCCAACACGGGAAGGGATTGTACCACTCGTACGGACTCAGCCTGATGGAGGGAGGGAAACAAACAAACAAAGAAGCAGAGTACTGTTACTTCTGGAAGAACACTGGACTGTGAATATAATGATATTCAAAATAGATGTGTGTGTATTGAGTGACAGTGTGGTACCTGGCAGCCAGGAAGAGCACACAGCTAACGGCCAGATAGGCTAAAAGCATGAATAGCCAGACAGCTGGCGAAAAGGGATCCAAGAAGGAGAAATAACCTGGCTTCCTGCCCTGTAGAAAGCACATAAACAATCCAAACAATGCTTTTACCACTTCTACAGACAGAGACTCTCCAAACAGTTGAAAGCTTTTCCTGATACAATTGCTGTTTGTTGTTGTTCTGTTTAGTGCATGCTTTCATATGAAGAGGTAAAAGTTTGGTTTTGATACGGACAAAATATTATGAACAATTTTTCATGTATTCAATTATGCATTATGCATCAGGCAGGCGCTTGTATCCGAAGCACCTTACAAGCACCTTCTCAGGGAACTGATGCCGTTATACTCGCATCATGGTTTACTGTTTGAGCTACAGGAATGCAAGATTTTCATGCAAGCCAACACACATTTCAGTTCAAACAACTTGTAAAAGTGCATGTAGCATCCTATGACCCCTTTAAATAATAATTCAACCAATACAAAATCTTATGAAAATTCCTCCCTAAGCACCTCATATTATTATAAATGGTATTTAGATGTTTCGTGAGAAAATAATACAAATTAATAATAATATTATTATTATTATTATTATAAATGTTCTTGACAGCTTGTGTGATATTGACCAAAGAATACTATATATCCAAGGATAATATATTAAGTGTTTAAACATTTCTTTTTCTTTTATTAAATGGAACTTTACTGTCTGAGCTATTAGCTGAATTAAATAATTTCCAATATATAAAAACCAATATAGTAAAGTCACAATTCAGTATATTAAAGATGCGTCTTACTATGTGGACGCGGTACAGGATACTGATGCCAAGGTTCATGAAAGGTTTGGAGAAATCGATGACCTTCTCCCTCTCCGATGTGATGGTAAATCCAGCCACTGCCAGATCTGCTTTCTGTAACAAACAGAGAAAAAGAGAGAATTAGCATAACTAGTTTGTTATAGTGCACTCTGATACAACAGCCATTTCTGGTTATACTGACACCCGTTTGAATGCAGCATCACGCAAACGCATTAAAACCAATACTATTGCAGAAATTACATTTGCAAAGATATTCGTCATCCATGATGTCTAATAACAGGGAGTTTGTTGGGATAAAGTAGCACACAGATGACCTCAAACAGACTACTGCAAAAGACATAAAAGTCTATTCTGAATTTCATTTATTTAACACAAAATTAAGTGCTCTATTCATAGATCAGCTTATACAAAAAGCTTTGAAGAAATGGCTGAAGTCTTGCTGTGTAAAATCAGGCATACATGTACTTCCTCTATAATTTGAAACCATTTAAATTGAGCGACTTTCAGTCACCGAAACGTTTTAAAGACTAAATGCACATTAAAACGTATTATAAAAAATGACCTCAAATAAACCTGATGGATTTCCGGTACACCTACAAGTACGCTTCAGGGTTCATACCACACTGAGTTTGACTGAATTTACTCAGTTTTACTGACAGATACTAACTATCAACCCTCTCAGTTGTGGTGATAATTTAGTGATGTTGCTAAGCACTCATTAGCATACCGCTGTGCCAGTTGTAAAATGCTTGACTGGAAATAGGCCTGTGATTTGGTTTCATGTTGTTTGTGCTCCACGTGTGTTCCCACGCTAAACATTGACCTTGGTATCAAGAAGCACTCAAGAAGAAAAGCATTTGACATTATCAGAGCTTCACTCATGAAGACAAGGAGTGGCAGAGAAAAGAAAAGGGATATTTAGCGCAAGGAGAAAGAGCAAAGAGATGGGCAAAGAATTGAAAAGGGGAAAGTCAAGGCTGGACAGCTGGATGGATATGGACAGATAATAAAAGGATGTAAGTGCACTGGAAGAAGCCTGGGTTGATGGAAGAATTCGATATGAGAGTCCTTGGGTAAAAGGAAAGAGATTTATTTATTACAGGGAAGGAGAGAGATAGAAAAACAGGGCTAAAGAGTACAATACAGCCCTAAGAAAACAGAAAGAGCGAGGGGGAGAAATAAAGCGACGGTCCTTGAGAGAAGAAACAGATACAGAATGAGGAATGGTTAAGAACAGAGAGATGGTAAAGACAGGCTTCCAGCGAGGACACAGGGAATATTGTGCCCTTGAGAAATGAAGGGAACACGGGATACGCATGAAAAATAAAGGGGGAAAGCATAAAAAAGCACTAGAGTGAAAGTTCCTGAGGAAGGAAAAGAACAATAATGAATAAAAAAAACCCACTGTGGCATTATTTTGCCCTTTTTCTTTCCTTCCTCGAGGAGGAGGGGGTGACAGTGTTAGAGTAACTAATTAAAAGTAGTGAGGCTACTAACTTAACTGCATTTTTCAGTAGTGTGGCAGTAGATGAACTGTTTCTAAAGAAGTGAAGTTATTTTTTTCAAGGTGCAGTTTAGAAAAAAATGGTATATATTGTTTTCACACTGTACTTCACATAGAGCTTTAGAGCCAAACAAACACTGGAAAATCTGGAGTCTCACAAGTTTCACTTAGTAAATCAGTTCATAAAATAATAATAATAATAATTTGTTTATTATTAATAAGTTTGATGTATAAACACACACACACTATATTATATATACTTTGATGTAATTAACTGCTTTGATCAGAAGCTAATATCTACCTTTGTCAATCTGAACTATTGGAAATCATGAGTAGCTTGTAGTTTGTCAAGTAGAATAGTTTCCCCAACAGTAGGGGCGATCGATATTAGTTTATTCTGCTTAAAAAAACCCAAGTGTACCTCACATATCTCTCAATCTGCTTAATTACTGCCTAATTGATTACTGAGAGATAGCTTTGTAAACCATCAAACGCTGGTGTCAAGCAAGAGCTCAAGTGCGTATCCATGGAGAAAGATGGGCGGTATGTGTGCGCACACAGTTTGCACACACAGTACATCAACAAGTGCCAACTATACACTGGCAGGAACAGCTGTAATGGTATAGTGCCACAGAATAATTAGACTCAGAATTAACTGATTAGTATGTGTGTGTGTTGCCGTATTTCAAAAGGGCTTTGCCGAGACCTGCCCACACTGGGGTTAATAGAATGACATTACTGCCGCCATTATTTTTAGCATTAGTGCGAATAGCACTAATATCACTAATCGTTACTCTAATGGAAACATCAGCTGGCAAAGGTCCAGTGTGGAAATCCAGCTAGCTGCATTCAAACATATGAACATATAAAAGAAATTTTCATAAAAAGCACATTTGTGTTTTAGTTTGGTATAGTCAGGTATATTACATTATTAAACATTTATATATAATGTAAACAAAAAAAAATATTATAAATATATTTTATTATATTCCTGTTGCTGCATTTTCATTAAAGCAATACGCCACAAGGAATGTGCATTTTAACCGGCTTTACTGACGAGATGCGCATGACAATCGCATGCGATTAATTGCACAGCCCTATTTTCAATGGAAATAAAAGCAAATGAAGCCCATTTTATAAAAGCCCAGGAGTTTCATTGAGGGTCAGCGTGGCTGGAAAGTGTCTCCATTTCTACATAATGTGTCCACAGAGCTTAATTACAAACGTGCGAGCAGGCATGCATACCCTGTTGATGAGTTCCCCCACCATGCCAGTCCATGAGCCATTAGGTTCTGGAGCTCCATACAGCCTGTCATCCACCAGCTTGATCCGGAAGGAAAACTTCAGAATGTCTGCCAGCTCCCGCAGCATATCCACACAGAATCCCTCGTACTGATCGTTACCCTGGAAGTCCTGGTAGTGCGCCTTGCGCTTCACATATGGATCTTCCTATAAAACAGGACGAAGGTAACATTTAACGCTCTAATATTCCACTCTCAATTTCTATACAGTGAAGTGCCATAAACTCAATGAAAGGCAATAGCCATGCAGTTTAAGTGGCATTTTGATTGGTGTTAAGCCATGAAATGGCAGTAAAATCCAATGAAACGGTGCTTCTGTGGCCTTGACATGTGAAAGTTCCTTTTTGGCTGCAGCTTCCTGGTTTGAATATATTATATCTTCTACAGTATGATGTCGCCTCTGGATAGCAAACCTGTTTTCTTCATTTTGCAAGCACATGATGCAAATAAGATGGTTAATAATGAAGGGATGACTTGGTATTCCATGTGGTTGTTTTGATTTGTTTTTCCAAAAAAAAACAACAACAAAAAAAAACAGAAGAATTATAAACAGTAAAATATTTTAAAACAATTAGAGTCTGATACAGTTTTTATGTTATTAGGAATTGCTTAAATGTGTTTGTTGCCTGGAAGCAACATTGTATGATAGTGGAATGAATAATGATGCAGTGAAAGTGGATGCTTTCAATGAAGCTTCTATAGAAAATATTGCAACTATCATTATGTTGGTTTTAATTTACATTCCACTTTTTTTTTTATAATTTGACATATTTCAGAGTGAAATGAGAAAAAATGCAATGCAGTTCTCTGTGCTATCCATCTGGAATTGATAGGCTGCTGAGATGTAGGCGTTATATACCAGAATGGAATGAGACTGAAAGCTGGTATAGAAATTATTGCTAAAAACAATGTTAATTAACATCACCTTGGTTAATATCATCCAATAGCTCGAACTAAAAAAATGTGAACTGATGAATTTTCCACAATAAGACTAAGAAAGAGCATTAAGAACGTAAATAAAATCAATTTTGATTTGATGTTGATTTTAACATGACTTTAATAATGCATTCGACAGAACAATGTAGCTTTGCCTAAACACCTACCTTGTGATGGCATGAATGAATTTAGTCTTAAAAGGGATATTTCACTCAAAATTAATAATTTTCATCATTCACTCACCCTCCACTTGTTCGAAATCTGTATGAATTTCTTTTTTATGTTGAACTCAAAAGAAGGTATTTTGATAAATGTTGGTAACCAAACTGTTGATGGTATGGAAGTCAATGGCTACCAGCAACTGTTTGGTTACCAACATTCTTTTTGTGTTGAACTGAAGAAAGAAACTCATACAGGTTTGGAACAACATGAGGGTGAGTAAATGATGACATAATTTTCATGTTTGGGTGAACTATCCCTTTAATTTAATGTTTTGAGATTTTCAAGTTGGAATCTAGTAAGCTCTTACAATCATAAACCCAAGAAACAACATTTTTACACTGTATATGCTCTGTGTAGACAAGCAAGGCTTTTTAATTCTCTCATATCCTCCCTGCTTTAAATAATGCATTACTTTTACAAACATCTATAGAGTCCATAATATCATTTACGATACCTTAATGCACAATTGGGTTTAGAGAGGTGCTCTAAAAAGATTTTGCCTGTTCATGTGCAAGATTTGAATAAGAAAAGCTTGTACGAGTGAGTGCCAAATCTGTAAAACCCCTATAATTCACAATTATCTCTGGTCTGAAATGCTCCTGCCAACAAGGCCAATGGAGTCATATCTGGAGAAGTTCTTACCAGTATCGTGGTGACGATGAGCGTCTTGTTAGCTAAAGTCTCAGATGCGTTGATGTCTAAAGACGTGGAGTTCATAGCCAACGTGTTATTGGAGTACCAGACACCGATCTGCACACGTGAAGTAAAAAAAAAGCTTTATTTTAATAACAAAGACTAAGCACAGTTAGGACTACTTTCATTAACAAATCTTCGCTGAAAGAGCTAAATCATATAAAATCATTTGCAACCCATTTAAAAACATGTCTGATCTCGCAGGGGGGAAACCGGCAGGAATAAACGAGTTGAGCGAATAAGACGAGGGGATGAAGGAGAGATAAAAGAGCATGAAGTGAGGGATCAATACTATGATCAATAAGAGAGGAGTGAAGTGGTGATTACTCCAGCTACCACCCATTCATTAGACCTCACAACCTCTCCCGTGATTCTGGATAAAATCCGGAGTTAGTGTCCATGAAAATGAGTTTATGTGTACCTGTTTTTCTATTCTGGTGGAGACTTAAACCTGAATACACACAGATTCATGGGGACTCATGTCACGGTGGGGACCTAAATTGTGGTCCCCACATGTAGAAAAGCTTATAAATCATACAGAATGAAGTTTTTTGAAAATCTAAAAATGCAGAAAGTTCCCTGTGAGGGGTAGGTTTAGGTGTAGGGTTGGTGTAGGGCAATAGAATATACGGTCTGTACAGTTGAAAAACCATTACGCCTATGGAGAGTCCCCACAAGAATAGCTAACCAGACATGTGTGTGTGTGCACGTTACCTCTTTGTGACCCCCCTTGAATTTCTCAAGAATACGCAGTGTGTAATTGGTCCTCTGGCCTTTGCTGTTAAACTCCACGCGGCCTGTTAGGCCATCATACTCTATCTAAAATGAAAGAGAGGGGATTTAAACCAAGGTTAACAAACAAGAATGACAAATAGCATTAATTTTGACCTACAATATTAAGGTATAGAAATGATGGCGGAGAAAAAGAGAAGAGACAGCCAGAGGACAAACTTTGAGATGATTAAGAAAGTTAAGGTGAAGTGTCACTTCTGCTCCACCGGCATCACCAAATGCAATCGCAAAAGTAATGACTGTTTTCATTATTACTGGCAAGGGAGGTAAACACTTGGAGTTATGGAGACAAACCGAGAATGGCGGACGAGAGGAGGTGCCAAATGGAGTGCTGAAATGATGGAGTGATGGACAAACTGCAAAACAGATGGAGGGACACAATGAATGAAAGAGTGCACTAGACAACACAAACACCATCTAGGATCTCACAGTGTATAATAGCTGCATTAAAATAATAAAATACAAGCAGACCTTCAGACAGGTTGCAATAAACAATGCACATCTGGTGTTAAGGGCACAGTTAATAATTGCTCTGAAACTAATGTCAGTTGTAAAATGACTGTGGCTGGGTTTAATCATCACAGAGGACATAAAAGTCATGCTGCATTGGTCATCATCAGGGCTGTCAATGGACAGGGCAACTAGGAACATTGTCCTGGGCTCCGTGACAAGGGCGGCCCATTAAGCAATCCAGCTACTTGTGAAAAAACGCATTTATTTAAAAAAATTATCATTAACTTGTATAAATAAAAAGATGTTTTGTGGTTGTAGTAGCATAGCCTATGAGGCCTGTGAAATCAATTCAGCAAGATTCTAAATGAACTTGAATTATATTATAATAATTTTATTAGAATTTTGTGTCATTCAATTTAATTATTCATTTTATATATTTAATTTGATACTGTATATATATAAGTTGGTACATTTGCTGTTGTTATTGCCATTTTCTGCATAGTTTCACAGTGTTTTCTGCATAGTTTCACAGTGCTGAACTGTGCTAAATGTTTCTTGATGATGTTAAATGATGCTCAGCGACACTTAATGCACAATAATGCATTAGCCAAGGGTTAGATTGAAAAGCAGCCGTCATAAACTCTCTGCATCTTGTTTATCGACGCCAAGGGGCCGCTGCAAAGATTATGAAGATTTTTTTTTTTTTTTTCATAACATGCACTGATGAACTGTGCGCAACGAGACTGGGAACTAATGTTGAGAAAGTAAATAAGGTCAATTTCAATTTCATGTTGACTTTAACAGAGCCTATAAAAGCCAATAAGCAGCGGCAAGTGGAATCACATCAACATAAAAACCAGATTAAAACAAGGACACTGATGATTAGGCTTCTAAAGCTCATCAGAGACGACACAAGCATCAAAGTGACATACAGTAACAAAAGCTGTAAAGACTAAACACTAAAGTCATCAAATGCAGCAGTCAGAAAATGGCTGCCAACGGGGTAGCCATGGTGACACATACCATGCGCAGATAGTTCATGAGACTTGTGCCGTGCTGCCAGATGAGTGAAGACGTGCAACTCAGAGGCTTCACTCCGATCTCCTGACTGCGGTTCAGTTCTCGCACCGCTCCGACCACCACATGCACTGCGTCGAACGTTTTTCGAACAACCTAGCATGAGAGCCTGTTCTAGTACACCCCCGAAACAAAATCAAGACTTTGTAAAAGAGCATAATAGGACCTCTTTAAATTCTTCAACAAAAAGCAACGCATCTATTTCAGTACAGCACATTTTTTTTCTACACTCCAAACCCCTTCAAACCTCCTAGTTTTTCCATATGTGAATAAAAAATCAATTCGTGTTTTATTCTTGCCTTTAAAAGCCCCCTAAACGACAATTCAACATTTTTTTTACTGTCATAAACAATTCTATGTTTCCTACTAATGTAGACTTGACCTAAAATAAAGCTTAACAAAGGTCATTTCTTGATAGCCACAAAAATGCACATAGTAGGTAATTGAGTTTAATTGCCCAAAGAGAGAGAGAGAGAGAGAGAGAGAGAGAGAGAGACCAAAGTACTGTGGACATACAATGCTGTGGTTTTGCCATTGAGAAATAGTTTAATTAAACCTATAATTAACAACTACAAAAGAGCAAATTTTTGGTATTGTGTTAAATGAACACTTTTTAGGTCGCCATCAGGGGCGCTGACACACGAGTCTGTCTTGGTGCGCATGCACAGTCCTTTCCTCATTACCGAAAACAGGCGCGATGTTCCTTTACTTACAGCGGTTCCGCGATACAGGCGAGTGTTTAACAGTTAAAGTATAAAATACTCAGGGTTCTCTCACAGTATTTCAGTATTTTCTCACAGTAAACCGTCATTTTTGTCAAACAGTTAACAAGTACTGCAAGGCAGCCCAGTTTGGCCGCTGTTTTATCATCCCGTTAGCGTGAGCTGAGGTGAGTTTACTAGAATATTCTTTAACGCCTTGTCAACACTGCTTTAACGCTATAAATATTTAAATATTCATTTTAAGGATAAAAACTCGGTGTGTGTATTATTTAAAAGTATTATTAATATAGTAAAAGTGCTGTAATAGTTTGCCTATTGGAGAGAATATAGTTAATATTTTATTTATTGACGTTTAGTAGGCTATCATATAGGCTACTGGTGAAAATATGAGAACGGAATCATTGAATTTGAATAACTTGTGGTTTTAGACCATTAACACTGCAACACAGTAAAGCTAAGTAGTAAGAGCTCTTAAAAGTAAAAGGGAAACATATGTTTGACTTATTTGCAATGCCATCACTGCATTCATCCAGAGATTTGTCTTATCTTGGCTTATAATGATGTAGTGTGACTTCAACCCTCTGAGATTGCAAACTTAAACATAGGTTTAATTTGAAGTAAAATCAAACAAAATTTTCAACCACTTTATTCATAATAAACTTTAATTACCAATTTAAATACTAATATACTGATTTGAAATCTCTGAAAATCTGGATAGAAATGACAGAAATGGATGCAAGTGACACTCAACATAATAAAACCATTTTTACAGTGCATACTACAGTATAAAACTATATTACACATGTTTAGCGATTTCATTAATGTGTGTAGAGCAGCACGATTCTGGATAAATTGAGAATCATGATTTTTTTTTGTCTCAAATAGAGATCAGGATTCTCCCACGATTCTGAACTAAACAAAATAATAGGTGGCAAAATATTATTGCTGAAGTCTATTTAAAAGTGTTTAATTAATTTGAATGAAGTATTAACCATTTTAATATACACTACCAGTCAAAAGATTTTGAAAAGTAAGATTTTTAATGTTTTTTACAGAATTCTCTTCTGCTCACCAAGCCTGCATTTATTTGATACAAAATAGTTTTTTTTTTCGGGGGGGGGGGGTTATATAAATTAATACTTTTATTTAGAAAGGATCCTTTAAATTTATCAAAAGTGATGATAAATACATTTATAATGTTACAAAAGATTTCTATTTCAGATGCTTTGATGTTTCAGATGTTGCTTTGAAATCACAGGAATAAATTACATTTTAAAAATCTATTCAAATAGAAAGTTATTTTAAATAGTAAAAATATTTCAAAATGTTACTGTTTTTGCTGTACTTTGGATCAAATAAATGCAGGCTTGGTGAGCAGAAGAGAATTCTTTAAAAAAAAACATTAAAAATCTTACGGTTCAAAAACTTTTGGCTGGTAGTGTAATATGTATTTAAAATATAATATAATACACCAATTTAATATTAAAATTATGAAAAAGTTGTTTGAATCAATGATTTAACGACTCACTCATAAACCTACTGGTTGAATCAGCGTTTTTGAACGACTCTCTTGAATAAATGATTCATTCAATTATACATTTTTAAGTCACTTTTCACAATAATTAAACAATGCAATCGACACAAATGTTATGTGGCAGTTACTTTCAAACGCGGATTTGCTCTATTTTGGTCGCGCTACCATAGACATCAATGTTTATATCTGAATTATAAACTTTCATCCCAGTATTTCTGTGATAATATGAATGGCTGTATGACTAAGGTTTAATAGACACGGGAGAATCGTTGTCATTTAGAAATGAGATCGTGTAGTTGTCTGAATCGAGATCGCGATCTTTTAACGATTAATCGTGCATCTCTAAATGTGTGCTTAACTCAAATGCAATATTTACATATCATTCTGAAAAGGTCTATGGGTTTTTAAAATAGCTATATTTGCCTGGCCAGTTAGAGTTTTTGCAAATACCGCTGCTCCCTACGGGATTGGGAAAGCCCTCATCCATAAATAAACAGTAATTTACTGAAGGCAATATTCAACCCAGCTAGAATTTCACTCAACGTAAGTGGTGCCCACTGGGAACGTTCAAGGAAAACATTAAAAATTGGCTCAAATTATTTTAGAAAAGGCATTATTTTAGCTGTCCTTGAGTATCAAGCCTTTCATCTTGTCTATCAAATCAATCAGCTCTTGTGCTTTGTTATTTACTGGCAAGTGGATAATCTCAAGAGGTACAGTAGGCAGCGAGTTTGTCAATGGTAAAGTCGACAAAGACTTTTTTCTATAGTCGTGTAGCAGCAGTAGGAAAGCTATTGGTGAATCCATCACTTGGTGCCCGAGCATAGCAGCTTTTAGATTATTTATCACAAACCGCTGCCATCTATATGGCAGCTGAAGGAGGATCCAACTCCACCTACTGTATAAAGACACCCATTCTGTTATTCATAAAGAGCTTCCCAATATGTCTACATACTGTATATTGATCCCCAAGAAGATTCCCAACACTTTAAGACCTTCTAGAGTTCAGGTGCATTTCAAGCGAAGCCGCATGTTCTTGTTCTGTCATTGACCCCTTCAGTAGCATTAGGCCTTTTGATTCCTCCTGAGGATGCTTGACGTAGAGTTTATGAATGGAGGTATGACAGATAACGTTACTGCCTTTGAAGGGCTTGATAAGTATCTTTCATCTTCCCTCTGCTCTCAATTAGATTCCTGACTATGTGAAACTGACAAGAAAATGACCTCATTCAATACGCAGACTTAATTTTAGAGACTGCTACTGAAAGCGATCACTCAACAGCCACCAAAGAATCTAGTATGCATTTGCAGTATTGCCTGGAGGTTGTCTGCATTTGTCCCTGTTCTGAGGAAAAAGCTTGCCAAAGTCATATTAATAAAAGACTAAGCTTGAATTTGAAAGCTCAAATGAGAGGTTTTAAGATAGAGAGGAAAAAAAGAAATAGACTGAATTTCATTTTAATCACACTTAATAAAAAATGTACATAGACATTTCATTATGATGCCATAATGATACTTAAAAATGGTGCATTACTAAATGAAACATTCACAATAAAATGTAATTCAGCTCATCTTCTTTCATACTCCTGTTCGTGTATCTTTAGACTTTTTTCGTTGGCACACTCTCAGCTAAATTGCTGCCTTCCTGCAGAGTGAGCTCTGGCTCCCTCCCAAATCCAGAAAGAAATAAAAAATGCAAGTTAAACATCTGTAATCTCCAAATGTTTTAAATATGAAATATTTGCCGTTTACTGAGACCATAAGAACCAATATGTTTGGACAGTCTCAAATCTTATCTTCCATGATTCAATTTGCCTCTCAAGGTCAAATGCTTTAGCTACTTCACTTTAACTTGTAACAGTCGTATTCAAATCCTGAGCTCACAACAGAAGCATATGCGACCTCAAAACAATGACATAATCAACCTCATCCACGATGATGATGATAAACGGCATGCATGCGCGCTGTGCATCAGTGATGAGCTGGTCAATGGCCAAGCCTGCAGTCGCTGTTACTGGATGAAAGTGGGTTAAGGGGAGAATGGGTAGTGTGTCATTGGTCAAAGTGAAAAAAAGGTTGTTTACCATTGTGGTGAGGATGTACTTGTAGAAGGCTGACATCATGCCTAATTCTGAGGCCTAGAGACAGGGAGAAATAGCAAGAGATATGCTGTAGCTATATCAGAAATCTAATCATAAGTCAAACTATTGTACATTGGCACAGTTGAGTCATGTCAGATCTGTTTTTCAGTTGTGTTGAATATAAAAGTCTGAAAAAACAAATCAGGTATTTAAAATCCCTTTTAAACTAAATTTAAGTACCGTATTGACCCGAATATAAGACAATGTTTTTTTCTTGGAAATACATCTGAAAAAACGAGATCGTCTTATATTCAGGGTCTAGCCTTTGACATGTCAATAATACACCCACAACAATAGGTGGTGCCAAATACGCATAAAATTAGTGTGCCATGAAATACGTAATGTAATGCGTGTTGTAAAGATCGCGAGTAAAAACTAAAGAAGCAGAAAACCTTACAGCTGCATGAGTCGTGCCTGTCAGGTTAGCCTGCTGGGACCAAACTCCCTTTGTGATTTTAAAACGTAAGACAGTACCCAGATTTGAAGACTACAGTAAGATTTAACTTCTACTGTTAATAAGATTTTGGTAGGCTAGTATTAGATGGATAGCCTAAATGTCCTAATTCAGATGGGCTACCTGTTTTTTTTTTTTTTAATGGTATATCAAAAAGGGTATTTTTTTTAAATGTGATTGTTGGTACATTTTACCGGTTTTTACCATACTTTCAAAAATTAAAATAGGAAAAATATGCAATATTTGTAGAAATAATTTGCAAAATAATTGAAGACAAAGTGTGTTTTACTGAGAAAAAACAAGATTTGGTTTTAAAAAAGCCTTTTTCCAAAAGGTACATCTGGAAAAAGGGGGGTCGTCTTATAATCAGGGTCGTCTTATATTCGGGCCAATACGGTATTTTGGAAAATGTAAGTCAAGGATAAAAGTTATGACATAAAATAATCATTATTACATTAAAATTACATATGATATATACTGTAAATATTCTAGTTTTTTTCACTTAAACTCATCAAATTGTATTTAAAAACATTGAGATAAAAGAAAATATTATTATATATACTGTAAATATCCAAGATTTTCTTTCACTTAAACTCATCAAATTGTATTTAAAAAGAAATGGAAAAAAAAATTAATAATACAGAAAAAGATCAAAATATAATAATCTTTGTCAGTGGCCTCTGACTTTTGGACCCCTATATGAGCACACATACCTTCTTTAATATTAGTATTGACACTGATGCATTGGCATCAATGATAATAGTCGCAACTTTGTCGTCACGGATTTCCTTCAGCAGGGGGGTGGGGTCCAAATTTTCATCAAGCATTCTGACTGAGAGTGTTTCCCGGGATATAAGGAAGTGACGCACAAGCTCCTCCAATCGCAGCAGGCCTGAGATGTAGCATAAAATTCCAAATCATTATTCGACTATAAAAACAGTGTCAATGTATATTCCTGGGCATTTGTGAAAAATTAGTAAAACTCTCATAAAAATTATTAGAATTCTTTTACAATGACTGCATATCAGAATGGGCATTCAGCAAAAATATGTCATGTTGTGATTAAAATAAATGTCATGTAACCATTTAAAAACTTTTAACAACTTTCATAAACTGTCAATTGCAGTAAACCTTACCTTTCTTTCCACCCTGCTCCTCCGTATTAAAGTCAGTGACTATCAAATTAAGTGACTTTGAGAGCCAATAAAGTTAATTCCGTATGTACATAAATTTGTGCCCTAGCCACCGCAAAATCCATATGGTGACTCCATTGATTTTGGACAGCAGTCAACAAGATGCACGGCTAACGATAACAGCAAGGTGAAGTGATGAAAGAGTGCTTTCTCAAAAAAACTAAAAAAACTAACTCTGTGTGGTGGTATCCATGCTCTCTCGTACATCCACATCGGTAAAGAACCAATGTGTAGATGAGCACATCTATGCATGCTAATGCACGCAGAGAACTCAAACACATCTAACTCTGCACAAACTTAACCACCTGCATCTTAAACAGACAAATGCTCGCTTACACATTAACATGAGCACAGACTGTGATGATTATATGGAAAAGGATGGGATAAGTGCAGATATGCAAATAGCAGTAAACAGTGGTGCATAAAACCAAAGCACCATTACCCAGACCATACCAATCAAGCGAGAGCTGCTCACATCAGCAAGTCACGAGAGATCAACTTGCAGTCAGCATTGTAATGGCTCACATATGTTTCACTCTAGTGCGCTAACTACTTCTCATTAAGCTGAGTCAACAAATTTGTCTGCATGTTGACACAATCCTCAAAGTGATGTCCTGTATATCTGAATCTGAATAGCACTTTTCTTCTGACATCTGACATCACCTGAAAGCCAGATGTGCTTTTTAATTAAACATTTTTCCAGTCCCTTCAACCGTGACTATAGTTTAACAGTTAAACATATGGTAAAATCCCATCCTATTGGTTTTATTTTGACCTTTATTCTACTTTTATCCTTTATATACTTTATTCAGTTTTTTTTAGATGAATAGAAAATGTTGCAAACCAAATTTGGACTCACGCTGCTCATATTTACACTATGAACTAATGCATGTGTGCTAACTGCTAATCCACAGCACCAACATGTTTCGTGAATAGAATGCAATTTTTATCACCACAATACAGAAAAATTAATCCACATGTATAAAGCTGATAAAAGGTTTAATCTTATAAAAATATGTAATTTGCTGAAGCAGTGGCACCGATGTTAATAACATCATATAATAGGCACAGAGCCTAAGGATAATGCACTTACGTTAAAGATAAAATGAATTGCAGTGTGAATTGGCTACTGTGAAATGAATTCTAAAGGGTGATGCGAACAGTGAATGGTTCAGTGTGATCTATAACAGCAGAATGAAAGAATGGCCAGTTCTTAGTTGACTGTGTCGGCGCTTTCCCTGCAGACTTACACTCTGCTTTGGCACAAATCAAGCTGGCCGTCGGATAACTGAAAGAGCGCAGGATGGCAACAATGGCCAAGCTTAAGTCCTCGTTGCTAGGATACAGCGTCACTGAGGCAAAGCGCAGATATGGCAAGCGTGGAGTCTCCTCTGGACCAATCTTGATGTGAGGGATCTGGGAGGAACAGACGATAGAAGAATAGATTGTGGGATTGACCAACATGGGGTTTTCAATGGCTGATGCCAATATCTAAAGCAGCGGTTTTCAATCTTGGTCCTGGAGACCGACAGCACTGCACATTTTGTGCGTCTCTCTTAGTTAACACACCTGATTCAGAACATCAGCTGGTTAAAAAGGAGCTCTGTGAACTAAACTGAGCATGTCAGGTATAAAAAAGAGCCATACAAAATGCGCAGAACCTAAAAGGTTCAGGGTTTCCACAAACATATTAAGCAGCACAACTGTTTTCAACATTTGATCAAAATAAAATGTTTCTTAAGCAGCAAATCGGCATATTAGAATGATTTCTGAAGGATCATGTGACATGAAAATTCAGATTTGCATCACAGAAATAAATGACATTTTAAAATAGAAAAAAAAAAAATGTTAATTTCTAATAAGATTTCACACCATTAAATTTTCTACCAGCTACATTGAGCATAAGAGTCTTACTTCCAAAAAACACCATGAAATGTGAATCTATGATTGTTTTGAAAGTAGCAGATACTTTTATATACCGATGATCCTTTGTATTTAGCAAAAAATAGAAAAATAAACAATTATAATCATGTTACAAACTACCATTTCTATCATGATTAAAATTCTAAGCAATTCATAACTGCAGTTTTTTTTAAAGCGGTTTAACTAGACTTTAGACTTTGAATGTTGTCTTAAAGACTTTTTAAAAGTTTAACAAATAGTTTAAAAAGTCTTGAGGCTTGAAGAATTTATAGGCCTTATAGGCTTTTTCTTTGAAACTCTGCCTAAAAAGCCAGCATTGTTTTATTTATTTATTTCCAGGTTTAAATTTTATTGAATTTTTAGTGGTATTAAAAGTGCGTGTGTATGAATATAATACGATTTAATAACAATACATTAGGTGTACAGAAAAAGAAAAAAATTAAATGCACATTCATTTTACACAATATTAAATTGTTAATTGCCTGAGTGAGCACCAAAACGGCCAGATATCGGCCAATTAATCATCCTGGCTGATATATCACTCTATCTCTAACCATGAGGAAGGAGAAGAGAGAGAAAATATGGGAAATTAGGTCAGAGGGGGAGATGCTTTTCAAGCAGCAAAGCAAAGGCACGCAGGAAATAATGGCCTGTGGCTGAGGAGCAGTGCAAATTTATCATTTCAGGAAATGCTCTCACAGACACATACGAAACGCACTTCCTTTCATTCTCACCTCTTTTTCCCCACATATATGACTGACGGTGGATCCGGAAGCGGGACTAGAGGCAGGACCAATGGACTACTTTTGTAGATAATTCAGCATTAAATCTTGCCAATAGTTAATTTACTTCCAGTTAAAAAATAAATATATATATATATAAAATATAATATAATATTATATATTGCGTCAGGTAGTTCTTTGCCTCCACGTCGTGCATTAAAGCTAGCCATACATTATCCCGCTTATACCATGGTCATTTGCGTGTGTCTGAATTACCCGTGTCTGCGTTTCTCTCTCTACAAACAATGAAGCTGTGAGTTTAATTACTTCAAAAACAAAGATTTTACTCCCTCTTTGCTGATGAATATAATGTAGAGATCCAGTATGTAAGCTATTTTATTAATAAAAGTCTCCGGGCAACAAGTTTCTGTGCTCCTGAATGTTTCTGTTTGTGCGCAGCACGATCTCTGATCTCTCTCTCTGTCTGTCTCTGTGCGAGTGATTTGTGTGGTGTGTGTGCGTCAATGAAGCGCGGATTTAGAACGCCGTTGCCCAGCATTCATATGGCGAATCTCCGCTCTCTACCCAACAAAACGGACGAGACAGCGCGCTACATCTGCCGGGCTTTCAGCTGTGTAGAGCGGACCGCGACGCAGAATCAACGGGGAAATCACGCGGCGGCGGGACATGTTTTTACATCAACGAAAGGTGGTGTACAGATGTTACAGCGTTAAAGAAAATATGTTTTTCCGATCTAGAAGCGCTTTTCATTAACTGTAAGCCGTTAATGAAACGGCTTACAGTTCCCGCGTCCGTTCGACGCGGGAGTTTCACTCGTTCATTCTCGTGAGTATTTACTTTCCTCCGGAAGCGCACGTGAGCTCAGCTTTACAGAAACTCGCTGATCTGATCACAGAGACAGAGCAACAACACCCGGACTCTGTTTTAATCATTCTCGGGGACTTTAATAAAGCAAATCTCTCCCGTGAACTGCCAAAATACAGACAGCACATCACATGTCCCACCAGAGACAGTAATATACTGGACCATTGTTACTCCACAATAAAGGATGCATATCAGAATCAGAATCAGAATCAGAAGAGCTTTATTACCAAGTATGTTTACACACACAAGGATATCGCTCGGTCCCCAGAGCAGCTTTGGGGCTCTGTCTGACCACTGCCTGGTTCATCTTATACCGACTTACAGGCGTAAACTTAAATCTGCTAAACCTGTAGTAAAGTCTGTAAAGAGATGGACCAACGAAACAGAGCAGGCATTGCAAGCCTGTTTCGACTGCACTGATTGGAGTGTTTTTGAAGTAGCCACCAACGATCTGGACGAGCTCACGGAATCTGTAACATCATATATCAGTTTCTGTGAAGACATGTGCATCCCTACCAGGACTCATTTAACATTCAATAATGATAAGCCATGGTTTACGGTCAGTGTGGATATTGTGGATGAGTTCTTCTGTGTCATCACGTTCTTTTAGTTCTACAGCTTCAGTTTCGGAACTTTCATGCTTAGTAACACATACAGCTGTTCCCTCACCACAGTGCAATAGTGAAAAAAGACCCCTTACAAACAGTGTCGCGTTCCGAACGTTGTTTAAGCGACATACACCGGTATTGCGGTATTTTAAAAATTCATATCATAACAAAAATAAACACCGGTATTCGGTATGAACCGGTATACCGCCCAGCACTAACAGTGAATAAACTGACTTGGAACTACCTGTGCATTAAACGGTTTTAATGCATGCCAGCCAATCAGAATTGAGTATTCAGACAAACCATGGTATAAAAGCAAATGACAATGCCAATCCAAACTTGACTTTCAACCTTGACTTTCCATTCAAAAAGCATCCTCTAACATGCCCAGTTTTAATAATTCAAATTCTGACAAATATATATTTAAAAAAGGCATTGTTTTAGACTACTGTTTTAGGTACTTCATAAAATCTTAAAATTTTATTTTCATTAACAATAATGGAAAAATGTATAATACATATAATATAATACAGCAAATAAAAATATATTTAAAGGGGTCATATGATGTTGCTAAAAAGAAAATTATTTTGTGTATTTGGTGTAATGAAATGTGTTTATGCGGTTTAAGGTTCAAAAAACACATTATTTTCCACATACTGTACATTATTGTTTCTCCTCTATGCCCCGCCTTTCTGAAACGCGTAAATTTTTACAAAGCTCATCGGTCTGAAAAGCGAGGTGTGCTCTGATTGGCCAGCTATCCAGTGTGTTGTGATTGGCCGAATGCCTCAAGCGTGAGACGGAAATGTTACGCCACTTACCATACTGTGATGCCCTGTC